AGAGAGAGAGAGAGAGAGAGAGAGAGAGAGAGAGAGAGAGAGAGAGAGAGAAAGATGAATCTACTGTACAACAGATGTTTCGTAACATGAACGCACAATAAATGCAAAATTTATGTTGCAAAGCGACTGAGTGAGAGCAAAAGTGCGAGGTCAATGAGGGGAACAATAAAGGAAGAGGAGGTATAAAACGGAAACTTACTGTTTGCCTGCATATACTCGTCGAAGTTCTCATTCTTCTCCAGTTTCCACTTGGCAAACAGTTGTTCCACCATGGTTGTTTTGTAACTGCAGAAAAAAAACAGCCTTTCAGTAAATACATGTATTTCAGAGGCTGTTGTTTTATTCCTGCCCACGGTAAATAAAGAAGAGTAAAGATCTAAGCCTATTTGCGGAAATATCGAGTATCCAGCCTCTTGCAGCTTCAATAGTTTACTACTTAATAATGCTATGCGTAAAGGATGAACTTAAATACAGCTTAACCTATTATCTTGAGGTAATAATTATGTTTTATAAACACGTATGTATGAAACCATTTTCATTGCATAATACTCCTAAAAATAAAGCAAAGAAATGTGGAAATGGCAGTTCAGCAGTATCTAATTTACATTTAATGCTAAATCTACAGTGGTTGTTAAGTCAAACACCATATTATCACTTTATACATACAAAGCAGAAAAAATGTTAACACATTCCAACAAATTAACTCATCGCTGTTATTAGCATCATTGCAGTGTCGTGTTGAGGCAGGACCACACGCATCATCCTGTTCAAAAACATGCGCTTGTGAACAGGGGTAAATCTGCCCACCTCCTCATTGCTAATGCAGTGGTTTCAATGAGGTTGTCAAACATTTAAAATTATTAGAATCAATCACTATAACAGTGTAATAATATAATAATGATTATAATACGTAGCATAATTTTATAGAGCACATCCCTACTCAAAAGCAAATTGTTACCCCAACAGACCGTAGAATTCCAAGAAAGATTCTCGGCTTCCCTTTAAGTATACTATAGTGTAAGCTGCCGATTGAAGGTTTAAATACTTCCAACATGGCAAGGTCGTTTGCTGTTTATTGTCGGGTGTCCATTCCAAGTAAAGAACATGCATGTAAAGTACTTTCCCCAAGGATACTATCCGGCGCCTGACGGGGTTCGAACCAATGACCTTTCGATTGTAAGCCAAAAAGCCTAACCAGTAGACCACCGACATAGAGAGCAAACCTTACGTAATTTAATTTCTAAACGTTTCATAATGCTCTGAAGGATTGGGAGACAAATTAATGATTATCGTCGTCTATAGTTTAATACTAAATTGTTCGTCTTCGCATTCAGAAGACCTGAGTTCAAACCCCGTTTGGGGTTGTATTTATTAATAGTATAACACAGTGCTGAAGCAGCACACTGCCTCCTGTTTGATCCATCTGGTTTTAGTAAGGGCGCAAAACTCATATCACAATTATCAAAATCAAATTAATCACAATGGTACTTAAAAAAAGAAAACGTGAAGCTATTTTCAATGATCGGACGTTACATAATATCCGGAAGGAATAATAGACTAACATTTATCCAAGATAGTTATTACGGCCATTACCTGTTACGTCTAGGGGTTTCTTGGCTTTCTCAGTGGAGAGCTATGACGACACAGTCCAAGGGTCGAGAGAGGTGTCAAAGCGGTTCGCTGTGTTCACTGGGAGTTATTTCAGAGGCTTGGTCCTTCCACGTCGCCTCATTGGTCGAGAGCAAGGCTTCAGTGTAATGACCAATCCGTGTAACTAACATATAATTACCTATATCTTTCAAGAGGTACAATAATACGAAAAAGCAGTATTACCTTCCACCGATATGATACAACGTTATGGGTACAAGAACAAGATGCAGTGTGGTGAAGAGGGTTTACACCCATATTAGCTCTGTAAGGACGTTTAAAAGGCGGAACTCAAAATCAATCGTCCATCTCCGATAGGAAAAAGCTGAATGGGCGGAGAACCTTGGAGACTCTCCTGACAACCTGAGTATGAAAACGATTAGAAAAGGGAATTTGAGCCTGTGTATTCCTCACCTGAGTTCAGAGTGTCTAGATGTATGGATTCAAAGGGCCCAAAGGGTAATTCCGTCGATTCTGTGGCTAAGGCGCTCAAGGCTCATACAGGGGTAATGTAGGCTAAGCAGGCAAGTGCACCAAAAGTTTAATCATGGGCACAAGCGCTTTGCATGACAACCAGCAGTGAGAGTATGCGCCTACGTTCTGTTGTCCCAAATGTCACAGTCGGAATCCTTTTTCTTGTCAAATTTTGTACCATTACCGATTTGGTGAAATCAAAACATCATTAATATGTTGTCATTTCGTGGAAATAAATTTGATGTGCTCTAAAATTTAACGTATACCTTCAAGTACAGTTACATGCTGCACTGGTATCTGACTGTAGTTTAAGTTTAGACTCTTGTGCGTTAGTCACACAGGAAGGGTTCGCTTTCGCGTATTGGAAGATTATTTTTAAGTTTCTATGTCTTTTTCTTCATTTGATTACGTATCTCTATGTGTCTGATTATTCATTGCATCTGGTGGATCCTGACAGATCTTGTGGAGGCAGCCCGTCTCCTAATGTATCATTAGTAAAATGTGTGCTGATGGAGACGTAAAACATTTACTTTCACTATTATTATAACAATAAACTTTTCTCAGGTTACGTGATTTTGACACGACACCAACAACAATTTGCTTACACTCAACGTAGTTCATTATTTCAATAATACGTTATAGCTTGATGTATTATCGTATGTGATTAACCGTATTGATAACAAGAAATGTTGAACAAAACTGAAAAACATACGAATTGATGAGTCATGCTTCAGAGTAATGTGATATGTCATCAGTTTAAGCTGTGATAATCTCCTTTTTTAAAATGGTTTTGTTTCTAGTTTTATTGGGTTTTTTTGGTAGTTTCACACCTCTATCTGTAAGGAGGATAAAAAGAATCGGCTGCCCTAACAGTCAGAAGCGCAACTCTGCCCCGCCCCCTTATATTGGGGAGCAACGCCACTATTTTTGCTTCGTAACGGTTGTGATGAAATATGTGTATGTATATATGTGTGTATGAGTGTGTGTGTGTGTGTGTGTGTGTGTGTGTGTGTGTGTGTGTGTGTGTATGTGTGTGTGTGGATGTGTGTGATCTGCAATCCCTTTAGAATGGCGAATTGCTGCATTGAAGACATTTAAAAGAATCTGTCTATCTTTTACACGAAAGTGAATTTGTGAAAGTGGTAAAATAAGTGGTCTATCAGAAGACATAGGCTTCTAATATCTCTTTTCTTTTGTCAGGGTCAACATTGAGCCGCGGACGTGCTAAAAAGTATGCTTAAAAATCCCCCCAAAAATGACTCCACTCTTTGTCATTCTGCAAGAATAACATTATTTATCAAAGATAACTAATTTGATGCGTCACTCCATCAAACATATACACTTATTTTAAACAAAGACTTCTAAACATGATGTTACGGATGTTGACTCAGTCACTGAAAGAGAAATAATGTTTCGTAACGTACGTCAAATAGGGGGAGTGGCCGATATTAAACTTAGATTCTAGGATTCTTTTTAAGAAATAGTTGAAACTCGAGTTAGTGTTTTTTCTTATTGAATACCTTGTTTGTAACATTTAACAATAAGTAGGCCTACCGATAGAAATCATAATACGTATAATAAAATTAT